GAAGTGTGGAAATGATTAAGAAGTACTTAGTCAAGTGTGAAAATGATTAAGAAGTACTTAGTCAAGTGTGAAAATGATTAAGAAGTACTTAGTCAAGTGTGAAAATGATTAAGAAGTACTTAGTCAAGTGTGAAAATGATTAAGAAGTACTTAGTCAAGTGTGGAAATGATTAAGAAGTACTTAGTCAAGTGTGAAAATGATTAAGAAGTACTAAGTCAAGTGTGGAAATGATTAAGAAGTACTAAGTCAAGTGTGAAAATGATTAAGAAGTACTTAGTCAAGTGTGAAAATGATTAAGAAGTACTTAGTCAAGTGTGAAAATGATTAAGAAGTACTTAGTCAAGTGTGGAAATGATTAAGAAGTACTTAGTCAAGTGTGAAGATTACTCGAGTACCATCCGCCCATCCACACTATTTTCCAAGATTTTGATTTCGAAAATCTGCGTCCAATTATTGTTGGCAAGTAAATATATTGTTAAAATGAGCTTCAACAGTTAAATGACAATTAGAGACAATAAACGTTTGCCGCAGTGTCGAATGACGTTAAAGTACTGTGACATTTTTCAGTAAAATTAGGGTTGCAACCCAATATTCCGAAGGGTCATAAGTTCGAAAACTGAAGTAAAGGCAATTACACATACAGGCCTGATGTTCATTCATATTACATAAGCCGTAGTATGTGCATAATGTTATATTATGGAAATAAGCCGAGAACATTTTGAGGTGTAATTGTAATCATTCCAAAGATCTATATTATTGTTACACGTAATTAAACTTCCTAATATTTTGAAATATTATGTCAAGATTCTCATAATTATAATAATATAGAAACAGGATGTAAAATTTGAATAACATTAAGAAGAATAAAGCAAACTCAAGTATTAAAGGCAAACAATTTCCAGAATATCGGTCTGTCCGCACAGTTTGTTTTTTATTAGTGTACATTTCAAATTTTATTATGACCAATGCGTGTCTTCTATTGCAAGATAACAACTGCCAATAGATTGGACGAAGAATATTAGTGTTTAATATATGTAACATTTCTGCTCAATAAACTTGAAATTTTAATGAAAAATAAGATTTTTTTATTTGCCTTCCCTAAAAATGTGGGTACGTATTCAGGAGCGTGTGATATTCGAGTAAATACGGTATATACATGTGTGAAGTACAAAAGTCAGATTATTCAATAAAGCAATCACAATATTGATTTTCTGGTGAAATATTTACTGTTAACTAATATTTGGCAGTAAGTGAAAAAGTATTTGAATAATATTGTTTAGTTTTTATGTTTTTAGAGCAAAACGACATTGGACTATCTGCTGTGTTCATCGCGGGAATTCAACCCCAAATGTTAGCGTCGGGAGTCCGTAGACTTACCACTGTACCATCGGAGGATATACAACTGTTTAGTAGAGTGTTATTAACAGACTAGCCAATGGTGGTTATAATGTATTTCTAATAATGTAATGTTATGTTACACGTAACAAGTATCCAAATAGTGAAATTAATTTATTTTTTCCTATTTTGTAACAATGGGTTTGTTTGTTTGTTTGTTTTAAGTTAAGCACAAAGCTACACAATGAGCTATCTATGCTCTGCCCACCTGCGGTAGCGAAACCCGGTTTCTAGCGTTTTAAGTCCGCAGACATACCGATGTGCGACTGGGGGCTGTAACAATAGAATGTCAAGTTAACTTGTTAGAAGAACGTCTTAATAGTGAGATGCAATAAGGGCTGAGAAATGCAATTTTTCGAGGGATGTCCAACAGTTCCTTATAATGTGCTAACAATAAGCTGTTCAGTGGGTTCTAAGGATGTTACAATATAGAGGTATAACAAAGGTACACGAATTGTTATTTAGGAATATCCAGAAAAAAACACAAACAATGTATTAATAGTAGAGTAGACATAAAATAATTTCATTTTTTAATATACAGAATTCCAACTTGATATACTGAGTCTAATGAAGACCCAAAATGCAAGAAATGTAGATTGTGGACAGGCAGCAACAGACAGTCTTAAACACTGATGCCTCAGAATTTAGACAAATTCTGTCTAGTTAACCCTTATAAGCAAACTTGTCTCATTGCATAAAAAATAACTACATAAGCAATTTCAATAACATTTCAGCATGTGTGCATGCCTAACTTAAATGTCATGAAATTTAATTAAAAGTTTAAATGTACCCCTTTTACTGTTCAGATCGTTCACCGGTCTTTGATGTCAAATGACATGTTTAATCAAGTGTGTAGCAAGTGCTCCGAGCTCCTCTGTTAATTAACGGTATGAAAGCGGGTCAACGATGTAACATGTAGAAGTTGTCAATAATTTCATCTGTACCTTATCTTTCTGTTTCAGTGCGTGATACTAGGTGATCAATTTCTCATTCGAACATGTGGCGTCGAGTCATCAGTATCTTTTCAGTATTCGCTAACTAAATGACTGAACTAAGCTGATCCCACTCTCATTCTTATAGTTTTATATTAAGGTGATCAGATTTGTTTCCGCCATTTTACCTAAGCGCCAAGTTCAGTTGTAGAAATGAAAAACTAAAAGCAATTTCAATATATTCTGAATCGTGAAATAGAACTGTTTGTGAAAACACATTATTCACTGATATTTTACTGATTTCTTGGTCTTTTATACTTCTAAGTTGACAGTTATTGCGAAAACAATAAATTCGCTTAAGCTAATTACCATTTATATAAATCTTTCAAGAACGAAACGTCCTCTGGTTAAAACGCGTATCTTATCTTCAAATCGTATATCGATGATATTTTGTGAGGTTCATGCCAAATAAGAATACCATTTATATAAATCTTTCAAGAACGAAACGTCCTCTGGTTAAAACGCGTATCTTATCTTCAAATCGTATATCGATGATATTTTGTGAGGTTCATGCCAAATAAGAATACCATTTATATAAATCTTTCAAGAACGAAACGTCCTCTGGCTAAAACGCATATCTTATCTTCAAATCGTATATCGATGATATTTTGTGAGGTTCATGCCAAATA